TTTTCTCGTGATGTCATCACATTTCCGCCAACAGGCTACTCATGTTGAACAAACACAAAACAAGGGAATTGATAAGCATGATGTATTCAGCAGAGTGCTAATTTTCTGAAGCATCTACAACTAGCCGGTCGCCGCAACACATCAGCAGTATTGTCATCCAATGTAATACAATAGTCATATTTTCAGCTGATTCCACGTGACATAGGCATGTTCAGTCTGTAATGATTAAATGTTGCAGATAATGATAATGCACAAAAGGGCCGAGACAGTGGTGTGCATCAAAAAATACTGCTAAGAATTCGACTTTTGCTCATTTTCCCGGAAAACATGCGATATTAAGAGTCCTGTGCAAATCGGTAGAACTTATCTCAGGGTTTAATGACTTTCCATTATACGATTCAGCATTTCATATTGCCGAATCATTTCGTAACCAGTATAATCGCGGGAGAAACAGCATAATGAGTAACTGCACTCAGTCTTGCAGAGTAGCCTTACACACTGCCTGCAGTCGAGTGAGTACACCTGATCTGGCTATTTCAAAATATCCCTCAAAACAGAACTCTGTGCAAAGTCCATTATCCAGCTTTATCGAGGATCCTCGTAGAAAGCGGGACGGTTAGACAGTGCTTTAAGCATTTGACAACATTCTCTCTGGCATTGTTGTTGTGTTCGTGTTACCGTGATAATTTTGCAACCACTTCTGATCAGATCTCTATTTTGGTCTTCTTTCATCTGACAGCTTGTGTGCAGTTTGGTTATATGGCTCAGCAGTGAAGTTAATCAATTCATTCGGTTTAAACGGTAAAAATATTCAAGCCTTGCCCTCTCTTTAATAACCAAAAGATGCCGGAGGTTTAACGGTGTTTTTGATTATGAATTATGTCGCACGAGGTACGGGGAGTTTTCCTAGCAACGTAGGCGACCCGTCTAACACTAGCCTCCCATAACTGATCAAGCCGTGATTCTTTCGACCCTTACGCCTTACGGTTGGAGTCTCAGGGTGGCGCGAAGCAGCGAACAGAGACCATGTGGCCATTTTATTTACCATGTCCAACAACGAGTCGACATGAAGCAAGCAGTGAAACAGAAATTATTATTACACGGGCGTGTCGCTCGTCGCTCGTCGCAATTTGACCCACGCCAACGTTGGCGTCAATGCCTCGTTTCACTGTAAAACTGGGACACGATCACCGAAATGCGATGCCCACGAAACTAGTTCTCAGCGATTCGCAATCTCGTCCAGTTCATCTATCTGTCGATTTTAATGTAAAGTAAAACTGACGCCAGAGTTCACGAAACAGCAGTCTCAGGTCAACGTGAAGCCAACACCGTCGTCACACCGTGCCTCGTTGCCGTCGCCTCCTTACCTCCCTGCGTTATCAGCTGTAAGGTAACGAACACCTATTGTAAAGCGACCGATATTCAATTTGTTTACAACATATAAACGTTTGTGACACACACAGTCGCTAACTCGTGCTGGTGCCCATCAACTAGTTACGTCGGTGTGCACCTTTGCGCACACTCTCCTGCTTATCACTGATATTAACACTGACGTAAGTCAATTTTTAATAAAATTTTTGTATTTCGGTTTATTTCATTAATTAGTGTTACGTATCGCAAAATCAAAGTACCAATGAGGGAGTGAAAGTACTGTTTGTACTTTCAAAAGTACTGGCTTCAACGAGTTGGCTTTAGTTTGAAGAAACATACCTCACATGCCGATGCACCATTTGTTGCTCGGTTCAAGTGAATCGCGCTTGTGAGAAATATTTGACTACTTTTGTTCGCTGGATATATCAATACGTTTTTGTATCTGTGCGATGTGCTGATTCGTGGAGTCATTGAACTCCGGGATGAGTTTAGCTCAAACCTGATGAAAGTTTGATCAGCAGCACAAAATACCTGATCAATACACCTAAGATCGAAGTAGAGAATTTTCGTCACCTTTAATTTTTTTCGCAACCGTTCGACAAGCAACCAAATTCTCCGAGCACAGGTGGATGATCAGATTGCACATTTGCACAGTAAAGCTAATTATAGTTTATTTTTAAAACGATCTCAAAAATTCATATCGATTTGTGCCTTATTCTTTCTCTCTATAACAAGTATGTTAATTCAGCGCTTATGGACATACGCAATAGTTCGTTGTCTGTGTCCGTATGGAACCGTAATACCCCCGCCCTTCCCACACCGATAGGTTTATCACTGGAGATGAGCACAGCACTCCAGCTGATTTATAAATTTTAATCTGTTATCCACACTATCTTCTTATATGCGTCATGAACGTTAATCGACGTTCTTCCACTATTCTATGATCTCCGTTTTCTGTCTGCAAGTAATTTGACCATCGGCCTTTCCAGCATGATCTTTGATGACATGTGTAGTCCAGTGGCCTTGTTTGAAATTCTTGAAATTCTTGACGTCCACCCGGATGTCCCTCAGGATAGCCCATGACCTGTTTATTTTTTCCTTGTGTCCTAGATGATACGGGTTACCTCCAAGCAATGATCCACTATGCCGTCGAAATGTTTGCTCAGAACGTGATCACGGAGGTAACCTTGTACTTAGTTTGCTCCATCGCTCTTTGGTGACCGTAAGTTTAGGCTCGGTAGTATCCCAGTGGCATAGCGCTCCAGATCATGGCGGTTAGAGGGGATGAATCGAATTGTTTTTCTGTCATCAGTATGGGCATCTCACTATTGAGTCGTGATGTTTTAATAAGGTTACAGCTGGCCTGTGCCGCCTTTCTTCCTCTTCTCCTCTTCTGATTTTCCCATCTGATCAGTTCATGCCGTCGACTTGACGGCCAAGATATAAATAACTGATTCCTCCCAGAGTTCTTCACTGTTTGCGCTAATACAGGCGTCAAATAAATGGCGTACAGTAATTTGCAATCTAAGAACTGCTGTTAATGCTTGCTGTTTGTATCCGCTTCTCTCCCTCAAACTAATCATCATACTCTTGATAGATTTACAATGACAATAAAAAAATTACAAATGCACTAAGAAGAGTCACAAACTTCTTGCAACTGTACCAGATTTGACCATACCCACAGGTGGCTTGCCCCACTTCGAAATGCAAAATCTTCACTGACCTTCCGCAAATTCAACAGCGCTTGCACACGACTTGAACCATTTAAATAATTAGATTTTAAAAAATGAGTATTTGTTAACTTTAATCCAAAACGAGATCCCCTTGGATTATACAAAGCTGATATACTAACGCCGACGCAGATACAAAATCTACGAATTATTGCCTGATGATCACTTCATGATACTACCTGAATACTAAAGAGAGTGGATATTTCATTTCGTTTCATATAGCGTGAAGATTAAAGAATATCCGCTATTGTGAATGGCGACTCGTTTCTGTTTTAGTCGTCATACTTTAAATCTCGTTGCTGAGAAGTACTGTCGTCCAAGGCCGAGGGCTGTAAACTACGTCTACCGTAAACAAGCAACTTGCCAAACAATGGTCATGAATCGTCATCGGACTTTCATTTGTAGACCTAAAATAAATCTGTATAGGAGACAACAATGTCTATTGCATATCTGGACGAAAGGATTATGGTTGAATTTCATATTAATCCCTGAACAAAGTGCAACAAAATGTTTTTGTCAAGCACACACCTTGTACCATACAAACAAAGATGATGCCAACGGGTGAGACCGAGGGACGAACAAAGCCAGATAAATATTATGAAGACGTGGAAAGAAGATATCTTTTTTTCATATTGGCATGACAGCATGAACGAAGTTCAATTTAGAATATAGTTAATATCAGCGTGAAAATGAGAGAGAAACGGATGGCTTCTTACAGCGAGTAAACTCATCGGTTGATGCCATGCTCAAGATATTAACCGGTCTCTAAAGCTATCAATGAAAACTAACTTTTACACTTCAACTAATCCTCTCTTTTTAGAGCCTCTGGTAAACGAGAAATCGCTCTCAGCCATGGCTTTGACTATTTTCATTATTTGTATATTTGTTGAGAGATACAAATGTCATTTGTTGTTTATGTCATGGAATATTAAAATTGACAATATCAGTGTATATTGTGGCATAATGCTTCACAATATGTCCATCCCTTAAGAACGGTCAGGCATGATCCGAAACACTGGAGAATATGTATATAATAAATTCTATGTACGATGCCATTTTGTAAAAAAAGAAAGTTTGTCACCGTTGAAATGTCGGTCTTCCTTTACTTTCATGATTGAACTCTTTTGGAGTTCTCAGTTTCTTGAAATTGATGGTGCGTGCTGACCTCCGTTTTTATGTAGTCAGCCAGGAATGCCTTATTTTAAAGGAAGAGTCTACAGCTATGTGCCAAGTGTAGCATGTGCTGTTGTTTTCTTCCCGCAGAGTGGCGCTCATTTATCAACCTCAGAGGGGAGAATTAAGAGAATCTCAGTCAGAGATTGAACTCGGAACCTGCCGGTTTTGAGTTTGACGCTCTACTGACTGAGTAACCACGCTGTAAAGGACCACTTTGTGAAAGATTTATCGAAATTATAATATCACAGTTACATAAAATGATTTAATTCGTGACTAAAGCGTATTGGCAATTCTGGCTTTTAAACATCATTACTAACGATTAAAATAATGTTGTGACTAATAAACTGTCGCGAGATGCTCTGCATGTGCTACGATATCACAGAGCCGTGGCCTTGTAGATTTTCAAATGCAGTCACAATGCACGATTATTAACATATTTCCAAAATTCGAGTCCATATTTATCATGACGAGTGTCGGCTCATAAAACATCATTGGTAATCCGTAATGTACTGCTTAAATCGATGCAAATTCTATGGATGAAGAACAGTAGATGTCACAGTTACAGGGAGTGTGTTCTGATCGTACTCTCTCTGACTTCTTATGCATAAGAAGGTGGCGCAATAATGTCATTAATCTTCCTGACACTGTGCATAATTACAATTAGCAGTTGTAATGAATTCTATCGTATCTGTCATTCAAAATTATTGTTGTTCTTAGGAAGATATGGCCGTGGCACCTGTGTTGTCGCTTTCATTGCTGGCATGTTCCTTCTTTGCAGTCGTCCTCAGCCAGACGTGCAATCCGTTCCTTCCACACTGCAGAGACAAGGGTCAATCATCGTCAGAGATGGCAAAGCCAAAGTGCAAACCCCGTTACCTCATTGCAGGGAAAGCGACCGATTGCAGTAAGACTTTCGAATTTACTAAACGACAGCCAAGGCTGAATCGTTTCAACAATGATCTTTCCAATGTCGAGAAATCTTTTTACTCACACACGGCAAATGGTCACAGAAAGAAGGACAAGAATTCGACTGGCTTTGTCATTCCTCTATAGCCAAGTGATTTGACTCACAGTTTCCACCTATCTGTTGATGCGCCGGGGGCGTGGCACGTTTAGACCAATCAGCCGAGTGTTTCTTGCTGGTCGACATACGTTGCGCGACTGTCATTTGCCATCCATTAATTTTTTGACCCTTCATAACTCACCATGAGACTTATTCCAGTCTTGAAGGTTTCCAGGCAACAATCTCCATTCATTGTGTTGTCCATTTTTGATCAATACACCATCCAACATGATCAGTTCAAAAATGCGTGCTGACGTCGAGATTGCTCTTGTCAATAAGCTGACCTGTGGTGATCGGATGACGCGTGGGCTATGAAGTCATTTGGAACCATCGTAAAGCTTCTTAGCCCGTCACTGAACGACCGTTTCCTCTTTCATATTCTGCAACTCTCTAAACTCCTTCATGTTCTGTAAAGTTCAATATGCTTCTGATCGGGGGAGGGGGGTTTTACCGTCCTTGGACATGGTTTCTTCCACTGTTGACGGCTCCAGCAACGAGGAAGAGAGAACTTTTCTTTGTTTAGAATATTCATAGATTCTAATGATGATTTAAATCTAAAACATCTTATTAAGCAGATGCCTTGTAGCCCCTATCCCCCCCCCAGTATTGTCTATCTGTGGGACCAACACAGAGAGTTAATGCTAGCCAGGATGGTTGGAACGTCGTTGCTTTTCCAAAGCACGTTGATTAAGCAATGTTTTCAACTATGTCCGAATTTTTAACGATTTATGGTTGAATAAATAACTGCTTTTGGTAGCATGTCGAATATATGGGCTGAGAAAGGAATAACTGATTCTACAAAAGTACATCTTCCCATGGCATTGTTTTCGTCACGTGGCTTGAAGACGCGAACGCAGTCCTTTTAATGAAGTACCAGCGGCGACAGTTGACCGAGTCCAACAGCGCTGGTTTTACACAGAACGATGGTTAGAGTGCAGGAATACGAAGAGAGCGACTCCTTCTCATTTTGGCTGATGTGCACTCGGTGAACGGGCCCGGAATCACGAAAAAAAATGTTGCCTCTGTTCGAGAAGTTGGTTGCACAGGACTCCTAATTTCAGCCTGTAGGATTTGCATGCGGAAACCGAAGCAGATGTTGACTAAAGAGATAACCCGTTATATGGTTACATCGAGAACTGGTCATTTCACAAATACCCTTGCATATCCTATGTTTCTATGTCAAGGACTCGTGTGCATGGACCAACCAGCAGTCATAGAGCACTTTTGATCGTAGAAGCTGATGACAGGCGCATCCAGACATTTCTGTCAGCTGAATCCACATCCAATAATAGGTACTGCCCGCACCCAGGCGCACCTCGTCGCTTTTGCCGCCGGAGACACCTTTCTCTAGCAGACTTAGCAGGGCAATTACATGCGGTAATTTGCATAGATATCCGGTATATCCTTTGCGCAGCAATTGAATCTT